TTCTCCTAGGATGTAGCTTTCTGGAGGTCTAAATAAGAGCCTTTGGATTTTACCAGTACTCCTCCTTCTTGGTGGGTCCTAAACCTGAGACTGCCAAAAACTTGACTTTTCTTTATAGATATGCGCTCATATTTATAGAGCTTAAAAATTAGCAAATCCTATAAGGTAAAATCAAGTGCCGAGTGTGGGGCTCAGTTCCTTGTACCTCCCTTGTCTCAGGGATCCTGCCACTCAAGCCTTGGCTTTCTTCATAGCTCTGAACTCCTTTGAAGAGCTTTCCTCATTATATTTAGGATTTAATATCAGAAATGTATGGAAGAAGCTCATATACAATACCAAAAAATGACAAAATATATGTACCCTGGTACCTTTGCTCTCTGACTGGAAGAAATAACCTCATATAGATATGTCTGTTCTTTACTATAGGCTCACATGTGAGGAAGGAAGTTTCCTCCTTCTCCTTGGAGGCACCTACACCTACAAAGCTCTGTCTTATCCTCTAGGTACGCCCCTATCACTGTTAAAATGGCATACACTAAACAGTTTTGCAAATAGTTCTACAAAATGAAAGTGAACATTACTTTTTTATTTTTGCCTTCTTGCCCAATAAGATGTAATNGGGAGAAATTGCTTTCTGCAGTGTCAGATGAATGAGTTATAAGAAATGATAGCTCAGCCGGCAGCTTGGTGCTTGCCAGTGAGTCAGCAGCACTTCCATCCTCAGCCTCAGGGCTGGGATCACAGCTGAGACACAGTTCCTGGCAAGGGCCCTGGCTGCCCTGCTGTCTGGGACATGGACCCTCTGCCTACTTGATGTGAGCCATTCACTTACCTGTCATGGAGGAGAAAGATTCACAGATCTATGGGTCTACAAAATGAAAGTGAACATTACTTTTTTATTTTTGCCTTCTTGCCCAATAAGATGTAATCATAATAATCATGATGATATTTACCAGAATTTACTAGAGATTTACTGTGGCCCAAGTTCTGTGTTAGATGCTTCATATAGATTATCTCATTCATTAAGTCTTAAGTAAAATCGATGAGGTGGTAAAGGTCATTGTTCCCATTTTACACTTGATGAAACTGAGGCTTAAAGAAGTAAAGACAACTTAAACAAGGCCCCAGAGCCAGGAAGTAAATGGCACAAGCAAGTGCAAACTCTGATTTTTCTAACCCCAAGGTTCATCTGTTTTCTCAACATTTTCTCCTGCCTCTTGGCCTGTCCTCAATTCAGTGTGACTACATGATTTCACTGAACCCTGGAATCGTGAGATACTTCTTTAAATAAAGTGAGAGCTAAGCAGTCTGAGAGGTTAGCATGCAAGTAAGATCCCTTCCTGGTACATTTCTCTCAGGTATTTCCAGATTCTGCCATCCTCCACCCAGCCTTACTTTGATAGATGTGTAACATCAAATACTTCCATTTATAACTTCTACGGCAAGTCTGAAAGTAATTTTTTTTAAAAAATAAAGCTTTATGCAGGGACAGGAAGCAGTTAGTGGTAGGGCTTTATTTTTGGAGGATTAGATTGAGGGTGCAGAGGGGGAGAAATTGCTTTCTGCAGTGTCAGATGAATGAGTTATAAGAAATGATAGCTCAGCCGGAAGCTTGGTGCTTGCCAGTGAGTCAGCAGCACTTCCATCCTCAGCCTCAGGGCTGGGATCATAGCTGAGACACTGTTCCTGGCAAGGGCCCTCGCTGCCCTGCTGTCTGGGACATGGACCCTCAGCCTACTTGATGTGAGCCATTCAGTTACCTGTCATGGAGGAGAAAGATTCACAGATCTTTGGTTTTTTTTCATACAGATACTTCTACATTTATTTAGAATCAGTTGGTGTTTCTGAATCTTTTCCCTGATCCAGCAGAAAGATCCAGTGACTTTCCACCTAGAGGATGAAGTCTGGGATTGGTGTGATAGCAAAATCTAGTTCTTAGACCAACATTTTGTACTTTTATACTACTTCAGCTTTCTGGGGACTTTATAAATGGTGAAACACTGTGGAAAAACAAGATAGGAAGATATTGCTTCAGAAGAAGTGGCAGGTGGAAAGAGACCATCTTGTCATGACAATTGAAAACATATGCAGGTGGCGAAAAGACTACAACCAAATCATCATTGCTGTTGGGTTAGCATGGTAGGATTGTTGCTGATTGTTTCTTTATTTTTCAGGTTTGATAAATAGGCACAAGTTGTAAAATTTGTTCTAACAGTAGTTTTTAGTAGTTTTAAATAACTATCTATTTGTTACCAAAAAAAATAATAATAATAAATAGACTTAATATAGCCTTAATATTTTATAACATCTTTTTTCCAGACCCTGTTCAGACTCTTAAAGTCAACCTGGTCATACCTAGAGTTCTCCAGGAGCAAATGGGAAGGGAGGACTAACTTTGCTTAGAATCTGCTAAGTACCAGGCATTTAGTTCCTTCTTGCTCAGAGGAGAGAGTGCTGTTATCCACATTTTATGAGTATAGATAAAGAAACTAACGCTCAGATATTGAAGAACCTCTCTCAGGTCAATTAGCTAGTCAGTGGTGAAGTTCCATCCAAGCCCAAGCGAGACTGACTTCAAAGTCCACACTCTTTCAACCTGAGTACAGAATGATGCTGCTATAGGTCCCATTCCACCTCGCTCCTTGGAAGATATTTTAAATGTGTTAGCTTACTGCTGGATTAATCATCCAGTAAGAAAAATTTTATGGCAATATTATTCTGTCCTTGCAAAACGAGGATCCTAAAACTCACATATACTTACCTGTCTTCTACCTTAGTTAGAAAGGGAAATGTTTAGAGCACTGCAGAACATCACGTGTGCACAGCTGTGTGTCTGGTATTAGTCTTCTACCTTAGTTAGAAAGGGAAATGTTTAGAGCACTGCAGAACATCACGTGTGCACAGTGTCTGGTATTGAGTAGGTAAAAGAGACTCAGTAAGTACCCAGCTGAGAGGTTGGACTCCCCTGGAATTTGAAGCATTTCTTATGATCTCTCCTAAACTTTTTAGGTAGATGAGACTGAGGATAAAGCTGAATGTTTTACTGCTGGGTACAGTAGCCACAAGTGACAGTTTTGGTTGAGGAAGGGGTGGTATTGTTGCAAAGTGGAGCACTTAGGGTTTCACAAAAATACCCATCCTTTTGGCCCAAAAGGGCCCTAATTGTTTATTTTAATAAGTTAGTAACATTTAAATATCTTTTTAAATATTTACTGTTGTTATTATACAATTAATGCTATGTTTTTATAGCTTTATTGAGGCACTGATATACAATATATCAAACACTTTTGATGTACAGTTTGGTAAAATTGAACACCTGTGAAATATCCACTTCAATAATGATGATAAATATATCCATTCCTCCAAAAAAGTCTTTCTGTAATGATATATTTTTGAAGGAAAAAACCCGGTCATTTATTTTCTCCATCTAATTTGGTGAAAAGCACCTGGACAAGGATACAGACCATGTGAGTCTGGACTCCAATCTTGCCCTAACTAGCATAATGAAATTCAGCAAGTCCCTTAATTTTTCCAGCCCTTAGTTTTTCCATCTGAAAAGTGAGGGGGTTGGACGAGATGGTCCCTAAGGCCCCCTGTAGCTCTGAGGTTCAATAAAGCTAAGAGGACAGGCATACTGAGGGCACTGGTTTGTGTCCAAGTGGTTTTATGTGAAAATGCGGGCTTCCCCTGTGGCCTGGTGTCAGCTGTGCTGCTTCAGCCCTGCCCTGCTTTGCTCAATTGGTTATGAGGAAACCACTGCATTTCTTTTAATTCCCTTTCACCCTGTTCAAGGTCACTCATGTCATTGTTCCTGTCCTGGTCTTACTAAGCTTAGCGCGAACTACTCTACTTAAAAATTTAGGGCTAAGGCATGGATAATGCTGGGAATTTGGCAACATCTTAAGCAAAGAGCTGATGAGGGACGACAGGATCATCAGCTCTCTGGATATTTTCGAGGCAGCTTGGGCATTGTATGGGGGCAGGAACAAGCTGTATTGGATGTATTTCAGAACTGGGGGAAGGGAAGCAGATTGGAGTTTAATTAAAATTCTGATCCCAACTTTGCTCATCTTCTTGCCAAGTCAGCAGCCAGCATTTCTGTTCGTAGTTCTGGTGATTTTGCTGTGATGACATACAGAGTTACCTCCAAATTTCTTGCAAATGTGCCGAAAACTTCAATATGCTCACCAGATGCTTTCATCAGGCCCGGCTCCCTGCCGTCTTTTGCCTGTGCTTTTGCAGATACCTGCTTCACCACTGCCAGCATTCCTGGACGGAGGGGGGCTCTGGAGGGAGCTGGTGGTGAAAATTGAGCTGGTTACAAATGAGAAACCAGTTTCATCATCACAGCATAGAGATCTTTCCAATCTGCTTCTGTTTTCCAGGTAGCTCGGTGGGATTTCTGAGGAGGGCTATTCTGACTTCATCTAGGCCCACCATGAGGTTCTTCCTGCCCTGTGCCTACACGCTGCTCCTGATGATTCCCCAGTTACGGGCAGTCAGTTTTCCTGAAGATGATGAGCCTCTCAATACTGTTGACTATCACTGTAAGTCATGTAAAGAACTGTCTTCCTTTCTAAGAAGGAAGCTTTTTTGTTTTTCATTTTCTAAGCATATTTATTTTCAGAAAGAGGGAGAGAATTTTTATATGTCTAAAAATGTGTTGCATGTTAATTTCTCCACAATCATTTTCTAGTGTTTGGAGAAAATGGGAAAGTTTTGTTGGGTGCTTTTCTACAGCAACCCATATACAAGTTATGTATTTTCAGTTAAAAGAAAAAGACCATTTGCTGACATTCACGTCTTTTATTCATTTATATTCAAGACCTTAAGAGAGGAATTTAGTTAAAACCCTTCTACAACTAGTATATACAGCTAATCAATGCTGTATATTGATTCTTCAGCTCCATAATCCTGACTGATGGTTTAGCCCATTTTTACATGCAGATTCGAGGCAATATCCGGTTTTTAGAGGACGCCCTTCAGGCAATGAATCGCAGCACAGGCTGGACTTTCAGCTGATGTTGAAAATTCGAGACACACTTTATATTGCTGGCAGGTAATTTTCCTTTCATTGGTTTATTAGATTAAAATTCTTTCCTCTTGTGGTGCTTGCATTAATGTGTGTAGTTCATGAAAAACTAATATGCGATTGTGATCAAAAATTGCAAGTTGCCAAAAATATTCACTGAGAAGAGTCAGTGTTGTGTACCAGGAGCAAAATACAGAACTAAAGCCTTCAACAGTGCTATTTTATTACTGCCATCAAGAAATCATACACCATTCTTTTTTCTTTCCTAAAGCAGCAGGGGAAAAATCTTTCTTTATTCTTTTTTAAGTTAGAATTATTCAAGCAAATATTAGAAGTATGTCTATGCTAATACCAAGTAGCAGTTTGACCCATGCCTAGAGAAAAGAGCTTTCTTTGCTCCCTGGCTGCAGTGATATATGAAAGCATCGCAGTAATGAAAAATTACTCTTTGTTGACTTTGTTTTAGACAGAGAAAATCCAGATGATCTCCAAAACACAATAAAGACAGATCTGTAAAAATAAAATAAGAAACAGCTTAACATTTTTATGCAATCACATGATATGACTTATTGCCTTCTTTCCAACAGGGATCAAGTTTATACAGTGAACTTAAATGAAATCCCCAAAACAGAAGTAATACCAAGCAAGGTGAGCAACTGCTGTTGGCAGTTTTAGCTGCATTCCCTCAGAATAATGTCTCCCTCCCCTCTGAAAATGTTCCGAGTTAAAAATTGAACTTTGGTTTTGCTTGATGAATACAGAAATTGACATGGCGGTCAAGACAACAGGACCGAGAAAACTGTGCTATGAAAGGCAAACATAAAGTGAGTTACACGTCTAGACAAGTACCTACTAGATTTACTCTTTTTGTGGGCTCGACCCAACAGTGTCAGCATATGAAATGTCTCATATTAATGTCATTATTACTTTCTTTAGGATGAATGCCACAACTTTATCAAAGTATTTGTTCCAAGAAATGATGAGATGGTTTTTGTTTGTGGTACCAATGCGTTCAATCCCATGTGTAGATACTATAGGGTAAGTATATTTAATCTGATGTGCTTTTTTTAATCAACTTTTTTTCCTTCACTGGTATACTGTTAGACTTGAATCCTTTCTGCTGTAACTTTAGATACTATAGGGTAAGTATATTTAATCTGATGTGCTTTTTTTAATCAACTTTTTTTCCTTTGCTGGTATACTGTTAGACTTGAATCCTTTCTGCTGTAACTTTTCTTCCTTCACTGGTATATTTTTATAACCCAGTAATTTGTTTTCTCTCTAATGCTGTGGAAGAATAAAGACAGAATTCTTCAAATAGAACTTCAATGCAAATGAAGCAGTAACACCTCCAACAGGTACATTGAACAGATGTGACACCAGCTATTTATTTTTCTTTTGTAGTTGAATACCTTAGAGTATGATGGGGAAGAAATTAGTGGCCTGGCAAGATGCCCATTTGATGCCAGACAAACCAATGTCGCCCTCTTTGCTGGTAAGATCTTTCAATGTAATGAATATAAGTGATTAATGACATTGAAGTTGCAAAAGGAATTTAAAGGAAGAAAAGAGCTCATATCTTGGATAGCTACCTTGATATAAGTGCTTCCAAAGCTAAAAATCTATGAATAAATTTTCAAAAAAGAGGAAATTAAAAGTGAGGATTTTTTTTTTTTTTTTTGACCGGTAAGGCAATTACAACCCTCAGCACGGTGTGGTCTGCACATGCTCAGCCAGTGAGTGCACCGGCCATCCCTATATAGGATCCCAACCCGTGGCCTCGGTGCTACCAGTGCCGCACTCTCCTGAGTGAGCCACGGGGCCGGCCCCAAAAGTGAGGATATTTTAGTGCATGTTGTAAGTATTCTGAAACTTGGCTTTGTGGTTAACTAGGTTGTTGACCCTGAATAAGTTGCTTAACTTTTTGATGCTTAGATCCCTCATCTGTAAAATTAGGTAAAACCATGGGCCAACCTGTCACAGGTTAATAGTGAGCACCAGGTGTAAGTTTATTTGATAGATNAGTGAGGATATTTTAGTGCATGTTGTAAGTATTCTGAAACTTGGCTTTGTGGTTAACTAGGTTGTTGACCCTGAATAAGTTGCTTAACTTTTTGATGCTTAGATCCCTCATCTGTAAAATTAGGTAAAACCATGGGCCAACCTGTCACAGGTTAATAGTGAGCACCAGGTGTAAGTTTATTTGATAGATAACACAGGTAGCCCAGGTGAAAGTACTCCAAAGGGTATAACATACTACACAGGCTAACACACTGCAGGATAATTATTTTATTGTACCGAAATTATAACTTTGGTTTCAGATGGGAAGCTGTATTCGGCCACAGTGGCTGACTTCTTGGCCAGTGATGCAGTTATTTATCGAAGCATGGGTGATGGATCTGCCCTTCGCACAATAAAATACGATTCCAAATGGATAAAAGGTACCTTTGACCAGCAGTGTTGTGGGGTCATCAGGATAGTGGTGGGATGGTCCAAACAGGAACAGCAGCCAAGCCACCAGGAGGATCAGTACTTGGAACAAGTCACATACTGCTTTGGATGTGATAGGGAACATTGACGGGAATGAGGAGACTAGTAGTCATGTCAGGAGAGTAAGTTCATCCAGGTGTTTATCCTGGGTGACCTCAAAAAAAGAGAGATCTTATCTGTGTGCCAAATTGTCTAACTCCAAGTGCACGCAATATGACTTGCCCACTCCCGTCTACCTATCTTGGAAAGTTAACAGTGAAACTCAAGTTAGTCCAGACCTGCAGAGTCATTTCATTCTTCAGAGTCTAGAAATCAAGACTTTTTATTCTGAGTATAAGAGGTTTTCTTTCCTACTTAAATAGGTTAATGAATACATTTGTTGAAACAAAGACCTTTGCTGGAGTTCAGTTCCCTATAGGCCCTTTTACAGTCCATTAGCTGACTTTAAAGACACCAGTTCCCTGAAGCTTGAACACACCCATAATGGGA